TGCACTCGGTCGACTCTCGAACGAGTGCGACGATGCACGATGATATCGGGGAGCCGGTGGCGGTGGCAGCGACGGTGGCGGCGGAGGCCAACGAGAGAGCAAGTGTGTGCAGCGGTGGCGCCGAACTGCGGCGGTAACCGCTGCCACTTTTCGATACGGTGCGATTAGAACGACGCTGCACGGAAACGACGGGAAGACACGGGCACTGTTCGTATCGACCCCGCCTAAACCCCGCCTCGCTGCGACGGAGCCGCACGAGCGACGCCGAGCGTCGGCGAGCGTCGTCGGACCAACAGCCGGCTCCCTTTTCCGACGCTGCTTCGTTCTGACCTTTCCTCTTCTTGTCTAACCCACCCCCTCCCTCCCTCTCGATGGTTCTTACCATCCGCGTCCTCGATCGGATTCGTCGGCATTCATCGTTGATCGTGTATCATCCCATCATCGATCGTACTCGAAGCGAATCGATCCCGACAGCCTCACGGGCCGATTAAAAGGGAAATCGATCGAGAGTCGAGGAAATTTGGATCGGTCATCCGACACGACGTTTTCGCTTCTTGCTCTTTGTCCCCTTTGTTGTACGACGTTCGCCGAAAACCAGACTTTCCTTCAGACCTGCTACAAAGTCTCTTTACCCTCGGCAAACGGCTTGCCGGGGATTAGGACGCTTAAATAAACACAAACCATAGCGTTTTCCCATTGAAAAGGTTGACGCGTGTTGCAGTTAATTAGCGCGAGAGACTCGTTCGACCGTACGGTCCCTTTCCATGTCGCTCTAATTGCTAGATACCAGCTGTAGGTACTGCATGCCTTCGTGAAGCACGATCGGGCCGCGTCCATCGTGACGATTTCCAACGTGCGTTTCCGAGCAGTTGGGGATCGCATCGTCTGTTTCCCGAGTGACGACAACAAGAGTGGTAACACGTATCTGCAAAAACGACGTACGTACGTTACTTGAATAATACAACGGCTAATGCTGCGTGCTAATAAATATAGTATGCACCGACGGAGGCTGCAACGAAGCTGCTTATTAAACGCGTTCGATCAACGATTCATCGAGGCCTCTCTAGTTTCGTAACTTTCGTCCCGCGTGTCAAAGAAACGAGGTAGCCGTGGTTGACAAACAAGGCGAACGTGGCTGCACGATCGTAAAGGCGTTATTCTAGTTACGTCGGCAGCCACGCACACAAGCACACCGTCTACCGATAACGCGCCACGAAAGCCACCGAACCGTATTCAAGAAGTATCTTGCTTTACCAGGCAATGTCGACCGCCGGAACATCGCACGCGCTATTGTAAATTTAAATCGTCTCGCTATTTATAGGACCAGCGTAGCCGACCGAGTTCATCCTGATAGGTCCGCGTCGCGTCGTATGTACTTTTCGTGCGTTTCTTTCACTCTTACCGATCTTACCGATCATCGGGATTTTCTATTCTGTCCAAGTTGGATCTGCGTCGTTCCAACCGATTTTATTCTTGGCGAATGCGTCGAGAGAAGGCTTCGGCGCCACGGTTTCGGTACCACGGCGGCGACGTCTCGCGAGAAGACCTAATCTACGATGTGACGCAATCGTCGAAAGTTAGGCTCGCTAGACGTAGCTCGTTTCCTCCTTCGGTAAGATCGTCGACAGTTTTCGAACGCTCGATCTCGGCAGAAAAATCAAGCGAGAAAGAAGCGCGATTATGCGTGTTGTGTTCCAGCGTCGGAGTGCCGAGCCGAAAGGGGGGAAGCGAGAGAGAACGAGAGAGAAAGAGTGAAGTCGAGTGATCGATCGGCGACGACGCGGCATAGCGACATCGCCTTGAAAAGAGACAGTCGCCGAGCGAACCCGGTTTTGCGTCCATCGAAGCAGCACGACTCTGCTGGTCGATCGACGCCGATAGGCGGACCGATGGGCATGGTTGCAGTTGGTAAAATGGCGCCATGCTCCGACCACTTCGACCACCCATTCGACTGTGCGCAGTCACGGCTCCGCCTGCCAACTGCGCGCGCTTCCTGGCCGATGCTTATATGTTTCCGGCTCACAACTCCGACTCTTCCACGATACGCAGATCGTGCCAGCGACTTCCGATTAAGGTTATGATTACCCAAGATTACGGCTATTCGTACGAGTCCGCTGTGTCTCGCTAATCAAACATAAATT